AAGAATCACACCGTACTATACATCAGACAATCTGTACTGGAGAGAAACGATTTACTTGTGAAATATGTAGCAAAGTCTTCAATAAAAAATCTTATCTTACAAGTCATCTTAGAATTCATACTGGAGAGAAACCTTACAAGTGTAATGAGTGTGGGAAGATGTTCAGTAGAAGTTCACACCTTGGAAAACATAGGAGAATCCACACTGGAGAGAAACCTTACAAGTGTAATGAGTGTGGCAAGATGTTCAATAACAGTTCATACCTTGGACAACATTGGAGAATCCACACTGGAGAGAAACCTTTCAGATGTGATGAGTGTGGCAAGGTCTTCCGTAACAAATCCTACCTTGCAAACCACCGGAGAATTCACACTGGAGAGAAACCTTACAAGTGTGATGCATGTGGCAAGGTCTTCAGTCAGAGTTCACACCTGGCAAGTCATCGTAGAATCCACACTGGAGAGAAACCTTTCAAATGTAATGWGTGTGGCAAGGTCTTTAGTCGTAACTCATACCTCATTCGACATGTGATAATCCACACTGGGGAGAAACCCTACAAATGCAATGAGTGTGGCAAGGTCTTCAATAAAGAATCAATCCTTACAAATCATCATAGAATTCACACCGGAGAGAAACCTTACAAGTGTAAAGAGTGTGGGAAGAGCTTCAGTCAGACTGCACATGTTACACAACATCGTAGAATCCACACTGGAGAGAAACGTTTCGAATGCAATGAGTGCGGCAAGGTCTTCCTACAAAAATCAGTCCTTATAAGTCATCAAAGAATCCACACTGGAGAGAAACCTTTCAAATGCAATGAGTGCGGCAAGGTTTTCCATCAAAAATCAGGTCTTATAAGTCATCAAAGAATCCACACTGGAGAGAAACCTTTCAAATGCAATGATTGCGGTAAGGTCTTTAGTCAGAAATCAACCCTTACAATTCATCTTAGAATTCATACTAGAGAAAAACCTTACAGTCGTAACGAGTGAGAGAAGGTCTTCAATCACATTTCACACCTTGCACAACAAGAGAATTCACACTGGAGAGAAACCTTTCAAATGCAGTGAGTGTGGCAAGGTCTCCATCCTCAACTCTGACCTAGCAAGACAGCTGATGATAATTCATACTGGGAGATGTCTTACAAATGCAATGAATGTGGTAAGGTCTTTGTTGCAGTTCACGTCTTGCTTATCATCATAGGATCCGTACTGGGGAGAAACCTTAAAAATGCAATGAGTGTGGCAGTGTTTTTAGTCACAAGTCATCCCTAGCTAGTAATCAAAGAATCCACATTGGAGAGAAATCTTTCAAATTCAGTGAGTGTGAAAAGATCTTCAGTTGTAGCTGATACCTAACAAAACATCAGATAATTCATACTGGACAGAAGACCTACAAATGAAATCTATGTGGCAAGGTCTTCAGTCTGAATCATCCCTGAGACGACACTGGAGGATCTAT